CTCAGTTGTGTGCCACATAACAGTACTGCACTCAACAATGGACTGCATATAGGATGGTGGTCCCGTAAGAGTATAATGGAGCTGGACAATTCCTGTCGCCTAGTGACAACCGCAACCATCCTAGGGCCATGGAGCCACACGTTCACTCACATGTCTGTGGGGACGCCAGCGTAAACAGACTGTGCTGCCAGTTGCATAAAAAAACTTCTAGCACATGCAATTATGTACAACACATAATACTTGACGATGATAATAAACAACTAAGTTACTGGTTTATGTATTTACAATACTACCCTTTTTCTCATTATTTTGGCGCGTAGTCCTACTTATAACGAGATGTTTCTGGTAAGACAGTGACGCCACATTACCCCAGTCACAGCCTCCTGCAGCTCACATTTCCCACATCTCTTGATTGCAATATTTTCTTTTGTGCTTAAGTGTTATTACAAGAGTTAAGAAGCTTTAAAAAATGTTAAAAGTTTATAAAATAGAGACCGAGGTAGTCATGACTCTTTTCCAATCTCATTCTTGAGTAGGAAAGAATTTGACACGCATGGTCCTCAAAAACAAAACAAACAAAACCACACTTCTACCTAGCGCTGCCCTTCTGGACTCAGTGTGCACTGGAGCCGCCTGAGGGTGTAAAGAGCCTGGCTCAGCAGGTTTGGGGAGCTGGAGACTCCGCCTTGCTCACCAGCGCCCACATGATGTTGATGCTGCCGGGCCACGGGCCGCACTTTGAGTCACGAGGGGTGAGACATGCATCTATATTCAACTTCAGGTATGTCCACAACAGGCATTTCCTACATCCAGACCTAAATGTACCTACTGGACACCTGGAAGATGATCATTGCCGTCAAAACCCAATTACTCACTTTATACACTTTATGCCCTTGGATCATGAAATTCCTTAAGTCAAAATGTAGCTTTCAAAGGTGTTTGGCAAGATGGCTGGATGCGGTGGCTCACACCTGTAATCCCAGCACTTTGGGAGGCCAAGGCGGGCAGATCACTTGAGGTCAGGAGTTCAAGACCAGCCTGGTCAACATGGTGAAACCCCATCTCTACTAAAACTACAAAAATTAGCCAGGCGTGGTGGCCAGTGCCTGTAATCCCAGCTACTTGGGAGGCTGAGGTACGAGAATCGCCTGAACCCGGGAGGCGGAGGTTGCAGTGAGCCAAGATCGTGCCACTGCACTGCACTCCAGACTGGGTGACAGAACAAGACTCTGTCTAAAAAAAAAAGAAAAGAAAAAAAAAAGCAGGTGTTCAGCCATAGATCTGTTGCATCAGGAGGGAGGAGGAAGGGAAGAAAAGGTACACGTGCTAAGCACTTTGGGGAGATGTCTGTCCAGTCCACGTTATCCCTGCGTCTGATGTCAGCCCCACCCATCCACAGGTAGGGTAGCAACAAAGTGACCCCACTCTCCTGTGCCGAGTTACAGGACCAGGGGTGGGCCTGACCCAGGCTGGCCTGTCACACGCCTTCTCTCCCAGGAATCTGGAAAGGGGTCTCAGAAATCGCAGAGTTTGGTGGCAGGTTCCAGACTGCAGGGACACATGAACAGGTCTGAGGCTGCCGCTCTGGAATGGCGAGCTTTCA